ACATACTGCTGAGTCATCATTTCAGGTGTCCAGTCTATATGGTACTGTGTAAGAGCTCTGTGTAGCCAAAGTCAAAAAGGCACAGGTTTGTTAACCTCAACTTGACCCTATTAAACCAGCTGGGGTGTGACTTAGGCTGCATAAAACAAATGTGTTGACTGGGAGTCCATCAAGATTCTGAGTTTCTTGCTCAACCAGGAGGTAAGCAGGAAGGAAAATCTGGTTTAGTTCATATAGTCTCTAGTAGGGATTTATGTAATCTAGAGCATGACATGGGCCATGAAGATGCTAAAATGCCCAATAGGAGCTTTGAAAACTGATGTCAGTTCAGAGTATCATGAAGATACTAAACTCCTAATAATAGAAGATCTGATCTCTGAACCTGAATGTGGCTGTCACTTGGGGAGACCATTGAGCATTTTGGGATCTGTTTCTTTCTAAAATAAGAATTTTTAGTGAATAATTTTTTCACTTTTCTTTGAGTCCTGACAAGCTCAGATTCTGTGTGATACAACTTTATGAGATAGGCCACTGGGTGTTATGCAAACGGCAGATGGTCTTTTAGTTAAAAAAAAAAAAAAAAAAAAACCTGGTACCAGATATTGGGGTAAATGCTGAGAGAGACAAAGGAACAAGCCACTGCCATGTCTCACCTTGCCAACTCCACGAATCCTCTGACTGAAAGTCCCTAAGTCTTCACCCAAAAGGCTTGAGCCAAAAAAGCCTCTAGCTGAAAGGGATGCTTATGCTGAAAAGCCTTTAGTTCCTGTCTCCTCATGCCTTATATACCTTTCTCCACCCAGCCATCACTTCCTGGGATTAAAGCCATGTGCTTCCCAGTACTGGGATTAAAAGTGTGTGCCACCACTGCCTGCCTCTGTTTCTCTCCTAGACTGAGTCAATCTCATGTAGTCCAGGTTGGCTTTGAACTCGGAGATCCAGACAGATCTCTGCCTCCAGAGTGCTAGGATTAAAGGTGTGTGCCACCTCTGCCTGGCCTCTATGTTTAATCTAGTGGCTTGTTCTGTTCTCTGATCTTCAGGCAAATGTTATTAGGGTATACAATATATCACCACAACTGGGCAAAATTTTAATATATTCAACCTTGACAGGACTTCAGAGAGACGAGAGTGTTATGGGTAACATTTCTGCATTAGGCTTCTGCTTAAGCCAGGGGGATTTGCTGTGTTCATGAGGATAGCATGTGCAGAGAAACAAGTGATAATGGGGTCTCAGAATCTTTACTGTAGTTTAATTTTTTATCCAGGACTTCTATGTGGTGGTTTCAAAGTCTTAATATTTTAAATGAATAAAGTATACCCAGAACTAAAGGTAATTGGATATTTTCAGTTCTTATGGGAAGTTTAATTATCCATATGATCTATGACCTAGTGTTACATCCAAATAGGGAATTCAGTCTCGGTTCTTTAGATGCAGCCCATTTGTGGGCAGGTCTTTCTAAATGTACTATCTGATTTTTCTTCACTGAAGCTCGGCATTAGGCAGGTGTCTTGCCTTTAGACGGTCATATCATGCTAACACCATTTTTCTGAACGTTCCCTATGATATAATCTTGTGTTTAAAATAGCATTTTATGCAGTGTTACTATTCACTGTCCCATTTGTTCATCACAGTGACTGTTTTCTCTGGTAGCTGGAAGTCAGATGCCAGTTCCATTTTAGAGAGTGATAACTGAAGTTTGGGTGCTGCAATCACCGATAGAGAAGTGACCTCAGCCAGCATCATTTTCACTCTGTTATTACCAGGGAGTGGACTAATGTGCTCTGTTGTTCAAAAGCCATCCTTGCTTAGGGCTAGCATAAGTTTTCAAATGCCCTGGTAGCTAAATGGTGTCACGGCACAGGCAATTTCTCAGAAAGAAAACACACATACTGTAAATGATTAATCTATATGCTGCCGAATGACACAAATGATTAAAACGCACTCTGTAGAATATTTTGTATAGTGTCATAAAACTTTATTAATAGTCTTGGTAAGTGTAAAGCATCCAAGAGCTTAAATGAAATGAGGCCAAGAGACAGGCGAGGGAGAACACGCCAGCAAGGCAAAGATTTCTACATGAAATCAGGACATGCAGCCAATAAGAGAGATGTTTAACTCCAGGCCAGTTACGGTGCCTCCAAGTGGGCTTGATTTCCTGAAATTTCAAATGTCTCCATTTATGCTCCCAGTTTGATGCTATCCCCTTCAGAAAAGTCGTTGTGGGGCTATATAACAACCCAATTCATGTTACTTAGGAATTTAATCATTTCTGGGACTACTATAATTGCCTTCTGAAATGGACACTTCCTTTTAAATATTTTAATAGTGTTTTAGATAAAGGCAGAATAATTCATAGGCATGCCTGGTGAAGAGGTGGATACTTAAGCTGGTAATTCATTTCCCCTTCCCCCTCTCTCTTCCCCCTTTCTACCTCTTCCCCCTTCTCTCCTTTCTCTTCATCTCCTTTATTCCTCTCTCCTATCTTTCCTTCCTTCTTTAAAAAGAGAAATGGGATTAAACTGGGTGTTTTGTTGCATAATCTTTCTCTGAAGACCTCCAGAAATAATTCCAAGTAGTTCAGTACTATTATAGGAAGAACATATTTTTCAAGTTCATGGTGCGAATGCTTCTAATGTAGTTTGTTAGTTTAAAATGCCGGTTTTGTAATTCGATTCCATAGAATAGGGTTTGGGGTTGGGTTTGGAGTTACTGCCAACTACAAGAAACCTGGATATCATCTTCAAAGTAGTGATGAACTCAGGGAAGCCACACTGACTAGGCTAAGGTGTGGTCAGGATTAGAGAAAGGGATGAAGAAGATGTGGGGGAGGGGGGACCCGAGCTGGCCAGAGACGCTATACTCTACTGACTGAAGGTACTCAGAGAGAGGAGGAGCTTGAGGCCATGGCATAGGATGGACATATAAAGGAACAGGAAGTGCTGACTCTCATACTGCTATGAGAAGAAGGGAGGTTTGGTAGAAAGGTTGTGGGGCCTAGGATGTTGCTTAAAGTGTTACTTCTGACCAAAGTCAATACTGTAACATTGAGCAAATAATTTAAGGTTTCTCTTCCCTAGTCCATAAAATTGAATTATAGAATGGAAGCAAATGAGCTTAGGGTTTCTTCACAGATTGAAATAGATTTTCATGAGGGATGTTTGACACACGTCTTTAAATACTTGAAGAATGCTCAGATAAAAGAAGGACTAAACTAAGACCAGAAAAGATCTCAAGAGGAAACAAGTTGTGAAGAGTTGCAAAGGAGTGAAAATTGACTTTAAATAGACAGAATCGTGAGATGGCTGCCTTGAGGGTGGAGGACTCCATAGTAAGTCCCCCATCAATAGGTACATTCAGAAGATGCCCAGAGGACCAACTCAATGATACTGTAGAGAGAACGCATCAATTGCAAGAAGCGACAAGCTGACTTGAAAAGTCTCAGTTCAAAATTCTAGGCATTTCTATTCCTTTGGAATCTCCTGTGCTCTCAGCTGTATCTCGAACGCTGCAGGGACATGGCAGGCATAGCAACCCAAGACAATCCTAGAATGAGAGGTGCCCCTGAGGTCCATGCTGCATAGACATCTTTTCAATTGCTACAAGGATCCACATCCCTGCAACCTTGCTTAACCTAACGTAACCTGCAAGAAGCAACTTTCCCAGGTGTATGGAAGAGGATCCTGTGAGCGCCTCTCTGCTGCTCATAAGATGCCTCATTTGCTTCTTAGCAGGAGCTCACCTCACAAGCAGTCAGGCCCACAGTGCTGAAGGAGCATGTCATGTGAGCACAGAACTTGTCCTTATTGATTCCGTGGGCCTTGATGGTAAAGGGACATTAATTGCTATCAGTCCAGTTGCACTAATGCACTTGTAATGAGCAGGCCAATGGGGACTCCCGGTAAAGGAGCTGCTTCTTAGACCCAGCAGCTTGCAAGGGACAGGGTGGGCTGGGAACAGATGCCCTGCAGGAAAACCCCTTCACTGGTCTGAAATAGTTGCTTCTAGAACTTCCACTAATTTAAGCTCCTGTCTCCAGAGCACTGTATAAAACACTCCCCCTTCCTTTCCCCACACTCAGTATTTTCTGCTCACTGTGCAGCCAGCAGAAGTCCTGGGTTCCAGATGCTTCTGTCCCACCACACTCAGGCCTTACAAACAAGGGCTGAGCAAAACCTTAGTAAGAATTTAAAGAATGTGCATATTTGGGGGTGGAGACAGACCCTAAGCGCCTACATGCTACCTTTTTTTGGCAGAAAGTTGTCTTGGTACATGGCCATTTTCTTTTCTTGTCTATCTCCTCCACCCTTTATTCCACCTCCTTTTTTGAATAATAATTGTTAACACTTAATGAGCACTTACTATGCACCAGACCCTATGGTAAGTGCTTAACCTAGTTGCCTCATTTAAGCTCACAGACTTAATTAGGTGATCTTTCTATTACCAGACTTTTTGCAGATGGGGGGGGGGGTGTGTGTGGCGTGAGCTAAAAAGTGTAAATGAGAGACCACTCAGCAGGTAAGAGCATGTGCTGTCCTTATTGAGGACCCAATTTCGATTCCTAGAAACTATTTTGGGTAGCTTATAAACCACCTGTAACTACAGCTCCAGGGGACCCAGTGCTACTGTCTAGTCTTGGCAGGCACCTGTACACATGTGCATATAACCCCCCCACACACACACACACAGACAAATATGCATACATACAATTTAAATTAAAGTAAATATTCTTCTTAATTATTTGGTAAAAGTCAGAGCCTTCGACTGAACTCAAATGAGCTGTCCTTATTTCAAATTCTGATATTTTTTTTCATGATTCCTATTGTAAAATTTAGATGGGTATTGCATAATCAATAGAAATCTGAAGAGTGCCAGTTGACTGAGGTTTGTCTGTGTCCCTGTCTACTGGTCTGTCTCCATATACCTTTCTGTAAACCTAACTACCTTCTGCTTTCATTTTTTTTTCATATTTTAATCTTCCTGTAATTTTATCGTTACAGGTATCTGATCAATGTCACTTTTGAGGGGAGAAACCTGTCCTTCAGTGAAGATGGCTACCAGATGCATCCGAAGCTGGTGATAATCCTTCTGAACAAGGAGAGGAAGTGGGAGAGGGTAGGACATGTCTTTGGCAATCCTTGAGCTGAGCAGAGAGGCAGGTGTGAGGTCCTGACCTGACCTAACAGCAATACACCTTAAAGGAAAACAGCCTCTTGGTTTGCATCTCTAGGCATCCGGAGCAAGAGATCGGAGCCTTGAGAGTGCAGGAGAAGCCAGGCCTCAAGCGCCCATCTGCATTCTCTTGCCACTTTGGCTAATCACGAGGTTGTTTTCTTTATGTTCTCATTACTGTTGGTGGTCATTGCTTTCTAACTCATGGCATTTCTATTGGGAGGTGATATGTACACAATCCAAAAAATTAATTTGCTGAAGAAACCAACTAGATAGTGCCAGTTAGAACTTACATCTTAGGGTGCCTGAGGAAGCCCACAAACCTAGCACACATGTAATAGGGCTGACAGTGTTTCCTGTGACTGAAAACTGGTGCACAGGGCTCTACTCAGACTCTGCCCTGCTACCAGCTGACCATAGACTTTGAAATTTTACATTTAGACATTAATTCCCATTGGCATCACTGCTCACCCACTTGCCTATTTAGGACACTGGGGAAAAAAAGTCTCTTAACTACTCAATCTTTCAGGCTCTTTACTTATAAAATGGAAATTCAATATATTGGTATCTATAAAATACTTGGAGCAGAGCCTGGCACACAGTGAGTACTCGAAAATTTAGATTTGAGGTTAAGTATCTAAGAGTAATCACTGGTTTTTTTTGCAGGTGTATCCTACTGGCATTTGTCCCTTGAAATACTCCAACAAATTGTTCTGAAAATAAAATAAATAAGACTGGGAAATGCTATTTACTGCTCTTCGATCCAAAGGAATCTCAGAATGTATTAGCAATTGAAAGTTCAGATGTGTCTCAGAACAAAGAGGCTTCTTTAACTTTATTTAACATGACATTTCCCAAAATACTTTTATCGTGAGACCACTCTGTTCATAATAATCTTATTCTATGCAAAGCACACTGAGTATCCCATTTAAAACTATGTCCATAGTTGCTCTGGGCCAGTTGGCTGAGAATAGATTTCATGATGTCAACATGCTTCTAAACAGAGGAGAAACCAAGTATGTTCATCAGCATCCTGTAACTGTGACAAAATAATGACACGCATCAACTTTTATACAGAAAAGATTGATTTCAGTTTATTGACTTTTATTCCATGAACACCTGAACCTGTAGACTTGGGTCTGTGGTAAGAGATAATAGTTGAGATAATAGTGGGGATCATGTTGCAGGGAAGGCCTGTTCGTTCACCTCATGGTATCTGAGAAAAAAAAGGAATATATTATGACCCCAATATTCTTTTAAAGGCACATTCCTGATGACCCAACTTACTCCTCTTAGACCTCAGATCCTAAAGGTCCCATCATTTTTCAATCATGCCAAAGGCTAAGAGCCAAGCCCCAAGTATCCAAGTATGTGTCCTTTGGGGGAGATTTAGTATTCATATTGTAGTATCTGCTTGTCTCTAAGATCAAGCAGCCAGAGATAAACTCTCCAAAACTCACAATGATGCCCCAGAGCCCCAGAGAGCTAAGTTATGTCAATCTGTAAACTGGATGTCTGTGACTCAGCCAGTGGAACTCAAACCCCAATTATTAATATTGAGAGACCTCTGCCCATCATGTTATTGTGATATCATCAGAGTAAAAAGACTTAAATCACACCTGATGGGCGTGATTAAAATTATTCTCCCCTGAGTCCTCATTTGATCAGAAAGAGGAGGCCCCATGGGCTTCTGCTTTCTGGCCCAGTCAACCTACTTTCCACCCCTGTTGAGATGCCATCATTTCTGAAGTGTTCTCATCCCTCCCATTTAACAGGCACTTCTTCCTATCTCTAGAAGAGGAGTGATTAATGACTGAGGTGCCATGCATGGACCAGGAGCTGTCCAGTTGGATAGCTCTTAAGTACTGGGGTCATGGTAACTGTTTCAAGCAGTTGGCCTCTCACAACTGTCCTTAAAAGTCACTATGCAGAGGCCGGCAGAGTTCTTTAGTCTAGACCCCCAGGTCTGAGGCCTGGGGCCCTCATCTCTTTCTTCAACTAAGTCTTCCCTCTAGGGGTTAGATCATTTGCAGCATCAATCCTACCTTTGTTCCACCTCATAAATGTAGACCTTACTTTAATGGGCCTCTTTGTCCTGAAACCAGCCTTTGCCCATTCAAATCAGCCTTACATGTGGCTGCTGGAATGAGCTTCCTAAAACACAACTGCATATTCTTTCCCTGGCCCAAATACTCGAGGCTGTTATAGTTTATGGATCAGGTCTCCATTTTATCTGTTCTTGCATTCAAGGCTTTGGTCTACCCTCCAAGGTTTATCATCTTTTCTTATCATCTGTATCAGGCTCCATCTGTTCTGAGAATGCATTCTGGTGTGTCCTACTTCCTGCACAAGATGCCATGTTTCCTTTTCCTAGAATGAATTGTACAATTATACAAGTCACAAGCGTTCTTTGAAGTCCAGTTAAGACGTTGCTGCCCCTTTTCCGATCGCATTTGGGGTCTCTTGTCTTATCCCACGGGCCCCTAGCTTTTCTTTATACCTCCGCTGCAGCCTCAACACAGCGGCACTGAGTGGGGATCGTGAGCCTGCGTGCTCTCAGAGGGCAGAGGCTGTCCTTCTTCCTATCATTGTGTCCTTATAGCAATCTGGTTATGTGCATTGCATAAAGCAGTTCAATAAATATTTGTGGAATGAATGAGAGCCATTACATAATAAGAGAGTCCAAAATCCATCATTAAGAGTCTAAGTTTATGCTATTGCCCTTGATATAATGGCTGTTTTCTTTTTTAAAAGGAGGAATAACATCCTCATGTAGATTGAGTTTTTATAGATCATACTTTAAATGCACCAAAGGAGCTCACTTTTTAAAGAAATATTGTGGCTAACCTTTTTGCTAAGCAGATGGAGAGGGGTTATACCACAGACTAGAACATTTGCATATCAAATTAGTTAAACCAGGATACATTTCTGAGAAAAGGTGCTTAGTGATAGTTGAATTTACAGGGCTATGCAGCTCCAAAATCAGAAGCCCTGGTCACTCACAGGCAGGAGTGGCAGGGACCAGAAGCCCTGGTCACTCACAGGCAGGAGGGGCGGGGACCAGAAGCCCTGGTCACTCACAGGCAGACAGGGGTGGCAGG